TTGTATGAAAATCCTCAGCCTCTCTGTCAAGGTATAAATGATGGAAACACCTAAAGATCACACTTTCTAAGGCAGAGGTCCCCAACTCCCAGGCCATAGACTGACTGGTGTCTGTCAATGGCCTGTTAGGAATGGGGCCACCCAGCGGGAGGTGAGTGGTGGGTGAGCCAGCATCACTGCCTGAGTTCCTCCTGTCAGATAAGCGGCAGCACTCCATTCTCATAGGAGCTGGAACCCTGCTGTAAACTGCTCAAGAGAGCAATCTAGGCTCTGTGCTCCTTATAAAAATCTAATGGCTGATAATCTAAGATAGAACAGTTTCCTCCGGAAAACATGCACTTCTCTCCCTCTCCCCTCCATCTGTGGAAAAATTATCCTCCACGAAACTGTTCCCTGGTGCCAAAAAGGTTGGGAACTGCAGTTCTAAGTTCAAAATGTTCCAGTTTTTCTTACTTTATTAAGATAAAACTGATAAAAATTATATATAAACATATATATATACACACAGTACACAACATTATATATATATATTATATATATATGCTGCGCACGGTGGCTCAGGCGTGTAAACTAGCACTATGGGAGGCTGAGGTGGGGGGCTCAAGACCAGCCTTGAAGTCATGCGTTCAAGACAGGCCTGGCCAACAGAGTGAGACCCCATCTCTTAAAAGAAATACAAAAAAGAAGAGCCTTAAGCTTAGACCATCTTTTTCAGGTTAACTCAGCCTCATGTGATACTAGGTTAAAGTTCAGACTCCCAATCATTTGTCCTTTCCCATCAGAGTTTTCCTTCCTTCTCCTCATTTCTGAGTTGTGTCTGGATTCAGGATGAACCTTATTTATCCTCATGGACTTATGAAGAGAAGCTTCTGTGACATAGCTCTCCTTCTTGCTTTCCTTAGTGGCCTGTCTGCTTTGCTGTGGACTCTGCTGCTATCCACCTGGATGTTCCTACCGGCACTTGGACTTTTGGGCTTGTCCAGGCTCCTAATGCCAAAGTCTGCAGTGACTGTGATTTGTCGTATGAGGTCCCTGTGCTGTGTACCAGGGCTTAGCAAACTTCTTCTATGCAGAGACAGAAAGTAAGTACCTTAGGCTTTGCATGCAGTCTCTGCCACATTACTTTTCTTCTTATTATTGTTCTGTTCCTCCTTTTCCTCTCATTTTCTTCCTTCTCTTATTTCACCATCATCTTTTTCTATATTCCCTTAAAATTTAAAAAAAAAAAAAAAAAAAAAAAAAAAAGCAAACCCTTCTCAGGGCCATAAAAAGGTAGGCTGTGTCAGGAGTTGGCCTGCAGACCAAAGTCCGCCAAATCCTGCCCTGCAGGCTTTGTCTTCTGACCTTGGGCCCCTTCCTATTCTCCTACATGGATCCAGGCTCCTGTAGGCAGTCTGTGGAAGACTGTAGACTATTACAGGTCCATCTATCAAGAAAATTCCCTCTGCCCACAGCTTCATTGCTTTTCTACCATTCTGACCCCAGAAACAGAGCAACAGCCAGCATGTTCTTTCATTCCCTGACAACCTAGCTGGGTTTCGTTGGGATGTGATTGCTCAAGGACCAGTAGATACAAGGTGCTAGGTCTGCTTTCAGGGACCCTAGCAGCAACATTCCCATCCTAGAGACACGGTCTCTAAATTCCTCTCCTTTACCTCTCAGCAAAAGGTTTTCTACTTCTTTATGTTGGGTGGATCATGTCCTGTGATAAACTATGGTTTGCAGTAAAACTCTTCCACTATGTTACACCAGACTTGTGTTTTACTTCATAGAAGGGAGACTAGGGAATTGCAAAAATAACTTTCATTCTCAACCAAACTTAGCTTTATGTAAACTTCAAGATTGTTTTTTGTTTTGGAAATGGACAATTAAAAGCAGATCATTTTTCAATATGACACATTTTCTGATATATTCCTGAAATAATTATCCTAAATCTCCATATTACATAATCAAATACTTTCTGATTTATCCATTACTCAGATGTACACAAGTTTTCTTAAACAAGGGTGCACAAGTATGTATTTCATGTTACCAGACATCTAAGCTTCTTACTGCTGACCATGAATTTGCCATACCTTGCAGAAAGCACTTAGCATCAAGGTAAAGCCAAGTATTCTAAAGTTACATATTATAATCAGCTATTTAAATATTGTAAGTGATCATTTATTCATAAGACAAGGCCCTACTTTTTCCTTTCCAAGATATTTGTCCTGATGCAACAGCAATTAAAAGGCACTCATAATCATAATCACAGCAATTCTTATGTTTTCAGGCAGCTCTGCCCCACCCTTACATAGCAAGCCTCCTGAGATGTGCTCTGCCTCTGGAACAGAGAGCATCTGTCCTCAGCAGTGGCTCAGCCTGTGCTCCTGCCTGGATCACACACAACAGCCTCTGCAGTGACTCTGCCATACCCTAGGAACCATCGTCAGTGACCCAGTGGCACCCAGCAAATGAGAAGGCTGCTACAATGCTTAGCTGCTCTTTCCTTTCAGAAGATTCTTCACTCTTTGCTATCTGTAGGGTGAAATACAGCAGATTTAAAATTCCAAAAAGCATTCTACTTTAGATGCCCTGCAATATGGCTCAAGCTTTGATTACAGAAGAGGTAAAATGTATAAGATGGTTCATTATGAATTTAAAAAGATTTTTTTTTAAAAAAAAACCTTAATTTCATTCAGAAAGGCCAAAGCTGCCTGCCTGCTTCCTTACGTCTGTGTTCTTGTCCCCTCTTTCTCTCCTCTCTTTCTTTCTCTCTCTCTCTCTCTCTCTCTCTCTCTCTCTCTGTGTGTGTGTGTGTGTGTGTGTGTGTGTGTGTGTGTGTTGAAGAGGAGGAAGAAATATCCAGTCCCCATCACGAGCCTTCTTCCTGAAATCCTTGGAGAATATAAGGTGGGCACCACTGGGCTAGGCTGGTAAGGAATTGAACCTCCCACTTGCCTGGTCTGAAATTCCAGCATTAGAACCACCTCTTCTGGAGTATGTTCATTTGCCTTTTCAAGCAAAGTCATGAGTTGCCTCATCTATACTCCCACAGCTAAGGTGATTAAATGTCCCAGTTTGCCAGGAACTATACCATTTTTGAAAAAATGAAAGTCCCACATCCCAGAAAACCCAGGAGTTTGTCACCATACTACTGTGTTTAAGGGTCAGTGTTTACACTGTTATAATCATCCAGTTAGCTGCTGCTTGTCCTCACTAAATGTAAACTTGAAGGTAAAAATTATCTCAAGCTGTAAAAAATTTGGTGTTGAAAGAATGAAGGAGCATTTGAGAGAATGAGTAAGTGAATGAATGTATGCATGGATGGATGAAACTCATTAGTATGATAAGATTATCTATAGTTTTGAGAGGTTTATTTATCATTTTTCCTGAGAGGAGAGAAGCAAGATACTTTCCTTCAGTAAATTTACTCAGATTAGTGCATTAAATCTAATAACATGCTGGATTGCATACTTGAAGGTACTACTGGGATCAACATCAGAAAAAGTAAGTATACATGAAAGATCTCAGGGCATTGGGCTGCTGAAAGGGGTGAAGCAACCAGAGACCATGGCCAAAGCTGAACACAGGCTTCTTCTAGAAGAGAGCAAGTTCTATGGTTTAAATATATCCTGTAAAGTGTATGCGTTGGGAACTTAATTTCTTCTTCTTTTTTTTAAATTTTACTTTAAGCTCTGGGGTACATGTTCAGATCTTGCAGGATTGTTACATACGTACACACATGCCATGGTGGTTTGCTGCCTCCATCCCTCTGTCACCTACATTAGGAAGTCTGCTGCAGTGGAACTCATAACTGCCTCTTTTCCCAGGTGCTATGTCCCGGGAAGGTGAAGCTTTATTTATAAGTCCCTGACATGCTGCTGCCTTTTTTCAGAGATGCCCTGCCCAGCAAGGAGGGAATGTAGTCACAGTCTGCCTGCAGAGGCGTGGCTGAGCTGCTGCGGGCTCTGTCCAGCTGCTGTGTAAATGTCCTTGAGGTTTTGTTTATACAAGTTAAGTCTGAACTGCTTCAGTAACAGTGGACTGCCTCGGTAATGGCAGATTGTGTTGGTAACGATGGACAGACTGCCTTGGTAATGGCAGACTGCCTTGGTAATGGCGGATGCCATACCCATCAGGGAGCTTGACCTTCCTAGGCTGAACTCACACTGCTGTGCTGGCTGTGAAACTCTCAAGCCAGTGCATTTCAGATTGCTGGTCTTTGTATGGGTGGGACTTCTCGGGCCAGATCAACTGGCTCCCTGCCTTCAGCCCCCTCTTTTTCAGGGGAATGTGTGGCTCTGTCTCCCAGGCATTCCAGGCGCCAGTTAAAATGGCCACCCAGATTTGTGTGTTTTTTTTTCTGCTGGCAATCCATGGCGCTCGTTGGCCAGTGGGAGTCTCCTGGTCTGTAGGCCGTAAGGACCACAGGAGAAGTGCAGTATCTGAACTGGAGTGCCCAGTCACTGGAAAAGCCCCTGATGGCCTCCATTGGGTGGGAGGGCATGGTCCTGTGGTCAGCTGCACTTCCCAGGTGAGGCAGTGCCCCACCCTGCCTCGGCATGCCCTCCTTGGGCTACACCCACTGTCCAACCAGTCCCATTGAGATGTGCCTGGTACCTTGGTTGGAAATGCCATGATCACTTGCCCTCTGAGTTGCTCTTGCTGGGAACTGCACTCCGGAAGCTGTTCCTATTCGGCCGTCTTGGTGAAGCTCTCAAATGTGCATTTTTATAATTTGCTTGGCATAGGGTTAATGGAAGCTAACAGTACTTTGCCTTTTTCCTCACTGATACCCAAGGACCTGATCCCATCTCTAACAGGAATCTTGGGCATCCACAACTTCCCATGTTCAACAGCCTCAAAAGAAACATTTGTATGCTACATGTTATAAATTCATGGTGATGACTTTTCTTGGCTTATTACACACTGGATGTAAAGAATAAAGAGAAGTCTCTGGTATTGCTTCTACAAGAAAGAAGCATTTCTCAGAGCCCTGTGCCTTTATTTCACAGCAGACTTTTCAGTGGAAACCTCATAGCCCAGGAAATGGTGGCATGACACACTTAATGTGCCAGCCTAGGACATCAAGAGGCAAGGGGCAGCTTTGAGTTCATGAGGACCAACTCGACTTTGTCTCCAGAGAGCAAACCATTGATGGGTAAGACACTTCCAAGAATCTCATCAAAATTTGCCTTTTCTTTCACAAATTTAGGCGGCAATATGCTCAAATTCAGATTGCTCAAGTTAACTTCGTTGCTGCTCTGTGCACAGGCCACGGGTCTCAGTGCAACACAGAAGCCCTTCCTGAGGATCATGTCTGAGAGGCCAGACTTCTTTAGACAAAGTGTAGTTTCACTTGCCCCAGCTCTCCCTGCATATGTCAGATCAGCCTACTTGTAATAAAATTCACACAAAGAATTTCCAGTGGGAATCTCTCTGAACTGGATAGGCAGCTCTCTCCAGCACTGCCACCAGATGTTTCTACACCAGAGCATTTTCCAGCCTCTGAATGTTCTGGCGTCCTCCCTAGTGATCTCCCAGTACCTGCAGGTCACAGGATAACAGGGGCTGCGGTAGCCTCACCTAGGAGCTCCTGGAGCAGGGGAGACACAACAGTGGCAGAAACTTGATTTCTAATGGAGCTGTGTTGGGAGGAGGGACCCAAAGGGGGATGTTTGAATCATGGGGACACTCCACTCATGAATGAATTAATTATATTATCACGAGAGTGGATCCCTTATTAAAAGACAAATTTGTCTCCTCTTACTTTCTCTCATGCCCTATTTGCGCTTCAATCATGAGATGACACACCAAGAGGGTCCTCACAAAATGCCAGCCCATTGATCTTGGATTTTCCAGCCTCTAGAACTGTGAGCCAGTCCATTTCTGTTCATTATAGATTACCCAGTGTGTTGTATTCTGTTATAGCTGTGCAAAATGGACTAAAGCAGCAAGAGATCAGGATTTTGTTTCTGGTCCATCTTTTGTATTGGCAAATGAGCCGACTGTATAGTTTATGTCGTAAGAAGCGCAGATATAAAAAGATAATACATTCAGTGTTTTCTCTTTCATGTTCATTCAACTAAATGAGTTATGGCAAGTGTGAGAGGTGAGGGTGGGAAAAACACAAAGGTAAATGTGGCATATTGGGAGCTGGTATGAAGTCTTAATCTCAGAAGTTAGGAGGCCTGCATTTGTACGTCACCACTCCTATCTTCCAAATCTTGGGCAGGTTATACAGCATAATTAATCCTCAACTGCCTTACCTGTGAAATAATACTAATGATGCCTATCTTATAAAATTATTTTGAAGATTAAAAAAAATTTGACTTAGCATTTGACACGTAATATCTTCTTCATAAATGGAAGTTACTGTTATTTTTTATTAAGATAGAGCCCTTGGCATGTGGAAGCCACAGTTTGGCTCTTATTATACTAAAGACTGTGATGAGAATAAAGAGTGCTATAATCTTCATACACACAAAATGTTATGGGGCATTTGGAGAAGAAAGACAGACAGTGAGAGAGACAGTGGGAAGAGGGAGAGAGGTTATTTCTACCTGGAAAATTTGGGAAGGTATAATTTGAAGAGCTATTAGAGTATTATGTCAGACCACAGAACTAGCTGTGAACATATGACCTCTGGAAATACTGAGATAATGGCTTTTCCTCAACTTCATAAACTGCTAATTTCTTGAGTTTTGAGACAGCCTTAAACCTTTGCATACTTTGAATACTCTGTAATTTTGTACAGATCAATCACTAAATATTTTTATTAATGTTCATAAAATAGATTATAGCAAGTTGAAATATAATTTGCTAAATAACTAATATGCTTAAATGTTCATTAGTAGTATGTAAGGACCAAAAGAAAGTTTGTTCATCTTTCAAGGTTCTCTAAGCTTAAAAATTTTTTTTTAATTTTTTATTATAATTTAAGTTCTGGGATACATGTGCAGAATGTGAAGGTTTGTTACATAGCTATATACATGCTATGGTGGTTTGCTGTACCCATTAACCTGTCATCTACATTAGGTATTTCTCCTAATGCTATCCCTCCCCTATGCCCCTACCCCCTGACAGGCCCTAGTGTGTGATGTTCCCCACTCTGTGTCCATGTGTTTCATTGTTCAACTCCTACTTAGGAGTGAGAACATGCGGTGTTTGCTTTTCTGTTCCTGTGTTAGTTTGCTGAGAATGATGGTTTCCAGCTTCATCCATGTCCCTGCAGAGGACATGAATTGATCCTTTTTATGGCTGCATAGTATTCCAAAAGAGATAAAAATATTGCTTACTTTTCCTTTTCTGATAGAAGTTAAAGAAAGTTAAATGTGATAACCATTTTTTCTGGACAGCTCATCACTATAAACCTTCAGTCCTGCCAGGGGCGAAGGATCAAATTAGATGAGAGCTAATTGCTCAGGCTTGTTTCATTCCAAGTTCATCCTCATAGGATGAGGACTTAGCTTTGACCCTGGGAAACACAGACCCTGGGAATCCTGCGTTTACTCTTCTCTTCTGAAACTTTGGTGGAAAGTTTGAATGCCTACTGTGATTATATTTTCCCACTAGCCAAACACAAATACAAGTTTCATGACTTTATGTTCTGAATTTACATGCATTTCTCTTGTCTTGCCAGTACTTAGGCATTCACAAAAGCAAACTCTAACTATAACAAATGTAGAAATCGTTTTGCCCTTCACTCCACCCCCAGGTTTTATACACTTATATTCTCTTTATAGCAAGAGGATTTTGTCCTTATGTTGTGCTTTTCCTTGAGGACTCAGAACTTCCCAAAATCATATATAACAGCTGGTGCTACTCTAAGATTCCCTACAAGGCAAAATGCAGATGGTGATAACCACCCACACATTGTCAGTTTGCCCAGACATTACCCTCAAGGGACAAAATTTGCACCAGTGAAATAAGGACATTTTTATGCCAGCAAAGATCAGGCTGCTAAAAGGTTTGGTGCTCTCCAGATTCTGCTCCCATCTACATAGGCTCCAAACAGAGAAAGATAATAGTGAATAATCAAGGTGCCAGGATTAATTATGAAACACCAAAAGCCACTTTGACTTTTCCAGTGTAATTAATTGCTTTGTAAGTCAAGGAACAATAATGGTCTAGGTGTGATGGGTCTCAGACAGAGGACAGTGTGTGGACCATGAATTCACAGAAGGCCCAAACATTCATTCTCTTATCCCTTACACTTCTCATGGTTCCTTGCATGGGGTCTGAGCATCCAAATAAATATCTGAAGTATAAATAACTAAGGAACAAATAGCTATCAGCAGAGTCTTAGTCCTAGAGAGACTGATGCCCAGGAAAGGCCTAATAGAATTAGTTCATCATGGGATGATGGTTATAATTCCAACCCAACCAACCAATGGTCTCATCCTGGGTAAGTTTTTTGGACTTTCCAAGCCTCTGTTTTCCCATGCATAAAATAATATAATATTTACCTTAAAGAGTTGCTATGAGAAATAACATACAGAAATAGCAAATGTACAATGAGTAATCAAGTGATCTTCACAGGTAGCCCTCTGAATAATGATATTCCTTCACAGGTAAGCAAAGCAATTCTGCCTCATCTGTGTTACAGAACTCAGGGTGGAAAGCAGAGAATAAAAAAATAGAACTCTTATCCACACAATGACAAAAACCAGTTAAGCTGAAGCAGAATACAACTAGGAGTCAGAGATATATTTGTTTTCTCTTGATTTTGCTAATTAGTAGGTGTACAGTGTTGAGAAAATCATTTAACCTGTTATTTCCAGTTATATCAGCCACAAATTATGACTATAATTTTTGCTCATCTCAACATTTCTATTTTGAGATCTATATAAGATATAACCATGCCTTATAAAGGGTGAAGCATTACACAAATATAAAACATTATTATCAATTGAGATATTTCAAGTTGTATAATAGAGAAAAATGGACTGGAAATTCGTTTGGCTTGGCTTGCAGGCAAGGTGTAAGTATGAAAGAGAGAGTCCCTAACATTAGATCCAATAAACTAAACAAGTCTCATCTTGCAAACTTGGAAAACCATCTTGAGGAGACTTGTGAGGACATGTCTGGGCCCAATGACAAGGAATGCCATTGTACTGCAATCCTGGCTGCTAAGGATGCAGTAGGCAGGAGTGTCAGCATGCATGCTGGGAACTTTCCACCCTAATATAACATGCCCTCTATACCCAAAATACCACCAACAGCCCACTTCTTAAAACTCTCTGTTCTGCAAACCCTGACTTGCTTTGTTTGCCAATTACTTTGAATGTTCTTTCTCCACTTCCTGGCACACCTTACTTCCTCCTACCATTTCTTTTTTTTATTGTCACTCTAAACTCATTTCCTCAGGGGCCTCTTCAACTTCCATGGGAATTTCCATGTGAATCCAAAGTTACGATATCTTCTCACCCATACCCGTTTCTAATAAGTCATTATCGCCTCAATCCAAGATGGCTAAAAATTCATACATCATCAATCTTCCATTCCCTCCACCAAAACAAACATTGCTTTCCTAAGATGCCATTTGTCTCAAGGGTGTGCAATGTTTTGCAACGTTTCTCTGCAATATGTAGAGAGTTATATAACTTAAATATATTCTATTGTATTGGAAGAAATGTACTCTCTTTAATTCAGGGATTTTCTTCTTTCACTATAGTGCATCTAAGTCCTGAGGGTTTTTGTTAAGTTATAGTGTCATGAGGAGTGGACCCCAGGTCCTTGCTGTTCTGCTTTTGTATCATTCCTGAGAGTTTCATAATATCGTTCACCAGCCTTCAGTAGTTAGTCCATGCTCTTTGCTGCCTCACTTACATTTGCTAGGACCCTTTAGGGTACAGTGATTCGTTATGGCTAACAGCTTCTTAAATGAGGAGTAATAGCTAAAGGGCAAAAAGGGTAAAAGGAAAAATTATGAAAAGTACATTAACTCACGTTTCAAAATAAAAAATATTTTCTAAATTTACTTCCAAATACAGTGGAGTAACAAAATAGATTTACCCTTCCATCTGTGAAATGAACAACAAAAAAAAATGGACAAAATATATTTTTCTCTTTTTCTTCAGAGATTCCTGATCTGAAAAGATAACTTTAAAAACATTTCAAGGCATTGGATATGAGGCAATGAAAAATAGTGATCCCTGAGAGATAGGATGCAAACAAGGTGAGTGCAAGGTGAGTACTCCCAGCTTATTGCCTGGGAATTTCTACAATGTGCACAGGGGTTGGGGGTGTTGTAATTAAGCGAGCGAAATCACCACTGAGACAAAGACTAGGCCAAATTACAGGGGCTTTATTGCCAGCGGCCACGGAGGACTCGCATCTCTCTAACCTGTGGCCCTGAAAGGAGGGTGTCAAGACCTTTTATGCCCGTAAACCAGCTCCTGGGCAGGGGTGAAGGTAAGGGGCTTTGGACATTCTGAGGGCCAGTGGCCTCTGGACATTCCGATTGTTACTTAAGTGGTTAACAGAAGTCAAGATAAGAGTTAGTTTACATGTTGTCTGAGTAGGGTGGAAATTACAGACCTTAGTTACTTATTACAAGTCCTAGTTTTTCTTAAAATGGCGCAGGGGCCAAAATGGCATTGGTTTGGACTGCTTGCCTGTCAAATTAGGGTTACAGAGAGCAGAGCAGTTTCAATGGAAAGCCAAGGTATGGTCAAGGTATGCAGTTTATGGGGCAATTACCATGTCACAGGGGAGCCAGGCAGAACCTGGGGTCTCCATAAGTTGCAGAGATGGAAGTGGGGTCCAGGGAAACCAAGGCAGCTAGAATTCACAGGTCAGAGTAGCAGAGAGGAGACAGCTACAGAAAGACAGAACTCCAGAGATCTGATCTTCAAAGGATCCACATCGAGTATTTTTCAGAGAACTTAAAAAGCATATGTGAAAATACTACTTGAGATCAGAATTTTAAAAATATTCAGAATGATTAGAGGTCACAGAAGGGAAGGAATATTTCCTGTTTTTACCAGTTATAATAGAGTTCCTGAGTGGATAATAATTAACCCTACATGAAACATTGCTCTGATCTTGCTTAACAAAATCTAAGAGTAAGAACCAAAAGGACTGAACTTTCCCAAGTAACTTAATTGCATCCTAAAATAGAGGTCAAAAATATTTATAGGAATACAAAAATATCTAGCACTCAACAAGATAAAATGTATTTTTATCTGCCTGGCATTAAATTAAAAATTATCAGGCATGCAGAAAAGTAGAAAAACACAACCCATAATGAAGAGAAAAAAATCAAGTAGACACCAACCAAGAAACAACATGGCTGATAGAACTGCTAGGTGGAAAAACCCAATAAAACAACTGTGACTTACTTTAACATGTTCAAGAAGCTAGAGAAAAGACTGATTAAGTTAAGTAGCAATATGGAATGTATCAAAGAGGTGCAAATTGAAGATCTAAAGATGAAAAATATACTTGACAAGATTAATGGTATATTAGACATTAGAGGAAAAAAAGATTAGTGAATTTGAAGAAAATAGAAAGTATCCAAAAAAGAACTAGAGAGAAAAATGACAATAAAAAAAGTAGAGTATTACTGAGTTGTTGGGCAATTTCAAGGAGACAAATATACATGTAATTGTAATCCCCAAGAAAGAATGAAAGAGAAGAGAAAAAAAATTTTGAAAAAAATAATGGCTACATTTTTCTTCCAAATTTGATAAGAACTATCAGCCAACAGATT